ACATCAAATATAAAGAGGCCGGTAGAGAGAATCACCCACGCATCAATCCCCTCGACTCTGCGTGTGTGTGGAGGTTTCTCTGTGCTGCCGGCGAGTCAGACACCTTATCTGCTCTTTCTTATGCTGAGCACCATTTATACATTTTACACATTTCCCTGACGCTTTTATCTCCCTGCGACTGGACAAGGAGCCTGAATAAGCATAAACGGCGGTGGGTCGACCGACAAAGAGGGGGGGGGGGGGGGATGGATGGAAATATTCCTGAGTCGCTCAGAAGGATCACGTACGATAGAGGACAGGGGGAAGAGACAAGAGGAGTAATGTCATTTTACAGCAGGTTAAAATAAAAAACGCAAGGGGGCTACAAAGATACGAGCAAAATAAAGAAAGGTGTAGATTTGTATGTCTTCAGGAAGGTTTAACATTAACAGGAAACACCAGGGAGGAATTATAGAGGACACATGTTAACAAAAGAGTTTAAACAAAGAAAGAGAGACATTACTAAAGATACTTGTCATAACATGTATTGTGTTGTTGGCCACAAACACCCACAGAAATAAATGAAATATAAAGAAGCAGGAAAGGATAGATAAGGAAAACATCTTACTGCACAAGATATTAACATAAGACCACTGTACATTCACTCAGCAAGGACTGTAGTGGCTTTAAAGCTTGTAGGAACTAAAGGAAATGAAGGGAACTTAGAAGAGAAGACATCCCAAGAACCCGATTAAAAGGGCACACTTTGAGAAAAAATAATTGAAACGTGTGATGTGAAATCAGAGCACATTATCGTCACCGCTCAAAGATGGATTCAGATGTCAAAACAGACTTGAACGCGACCATGATCGGCCTATAAAGGATGCGTGAGGGCCACTGAAGAAGACAGAGACTGAGCCGCCTTCACTGTGACGTTTCAGTTTGTATTGCGTTATAAATCTGCACTCCTTATACTTTGTACTTTTAGTTTTAGTTTGAGGTATTTGTACTTTACTTGAGTGTTTGTCTTTTCTACTCTACTGTCAATAAGACTTTACTGATCATGAGGAGGAAATTCAAGCTTCCAAACAATATATGAAGTGGTATATAATGCATACCAATAAACATTTAAGTGACGACACATTGATGCATCCATAATTATAATGATATAAATACTGTAATATCGTGTAAATACTTGTAAATTTACTTGTACCTTGTGAGTATTTTTACACCGTTGTATTGTTTACTTTAGTAAACCGTTCATAACTTCACATCGTGGCTTCAGACACCCAAGTCGCGGCTAATCAGAAACAGCGGTGAAATACAGTCTGGTTCACGGTAAATAAACACACCCAAGTCCAGAATAAATGGTGCAACACACTTGGCGGTGGTACTAATTTCCAAATAGGCATATTAGTCACTTGCGTTGACATGACGACCTGGTTAAAAAGTAGATTATGGATTTAGACGCGCTCCACTCTGAAGCGCCTCCCCCGCTGCTGCACGAAGCCCGTCTTCTTACTGAGCCAACGCTTGTTCATATCGGATGCGTCGGATGTCCAAAGTGAACCAAATTCAACACTGCCCGTCCTCCCGTCACCATCAATACACATACCAAGTGTGAAGTAGATCGGATGAACTGTTCTCAAGATATGCAAAGGACACACAGACACATCGGCAGATGGACTGATTCTTTGCTTCATTAGATTAAAATATCGGACTACTTCTTCCATTACCGCAGCATCTGTATCAAATTCTGTAGGACACAAACACCAGAGGAAGCTTCAGTTCTTTCCGTTGGCTTACTGGCACACCTTTAATGGACCTGAGCCATCATGAATGTAATTATTTATACCTGCACTTCTCGCTGATGACTTCAAATGTCTGCCCTGAGTAAGCTCTAAATCACTGTACCCTCTAAAATGTAATTTCCCCATAGAGCTTCAAACGGCTCCAATATCTGTCTCTCTGCTGGCAACACGGTGTACTTTCGCACTGATGAATGCACACTAAAGGGGACGAAGGAGAAAAGACGCGTCTACAGGAGTCTGCTCTGTCAGTGCATTTGCAAGGACGGCCTCGGTACAGTGACAGGTTTCTGCGAGCTAGCAGCGAGCCAGATTTAGCTCCCCGCAGATCGATAAAGTATTCATACAGGACGGGGACGAGGACGAGGACCGCGTAAAAGGCACGTTGCAGTGCTGCGTGCCTCGAATGAAGAGGAGGAGAGAGAGGGGAAACTCCCACACAGGAGATTTGCATGGAAGATGATGAAATGAGGACGAAGCTCCTAACGTGTTGGAGTTTGAATTCCACTATGTTAATGATGTCACGGTGATACAGACATTTAAAATGCATTATCAAACTGAATTTATACATTTTTGATCTTGCGAGCAGATCAGTTTTTCACACCGAGAAACTAAAGAGAAACGAGTCCTCGTGTTAATAATTAGGAGTAAAAGTGAGAATGAACAGCACAGTGAAATGAGTTCATTATTTATCATTAATTCAATTCAAATCCATTCTTTTTGAGATCACGTCTGACCTGAATGTCTCCTCGTCACTAAGGATTGTATAAATAAATCCATTGATAAGTTTGAGTGTAAGTTTTCAGTAATCATTTCTTAATTTTAATCAAAATGGTGTGAACATTCACAAACACATAAGATGTAGATGGCATTCAAAGTCTTTCTACAATCAAACAGAAGAAGAAAGATTTTCCAAAACTCACTTAGTCGACTTCAAGCACGTGGCACCTATAGTTTACGTTAGCACATAAGATATCCAATTTTAGACACAAAAAAACGTTGATTTTCTCCAAATTTGCGTTCGTAGACTAAAAGACTGTTGGACAACTTAAACTTTAAGGATGCACAATGTTTTAAAAACAAAAGTGAAGCGTCAGACATTAAATAGACATAAAATCCTGTAAATGCTTCTACCTTGTGGGTGATTTTGATTAAAAAACAACACAGCGAGATTCCTGCGGTGCACTAACCTACTTAAACGAGCGCTCTTGTGGTTTCAAAGTGTCGATGGGCACCCAGAGATGCATCTTTCCTGCATTAGCGATGCAGGATTTTCCGAGCCGTCTCTCCTGGGAGAGAAGTAGACACAGCAGAATGAAGAACATACAAAGACTGTGAAAGCAGCACCAGGGGTCAGACTGATAAAACTTACCCCCAAAAACCTGTCTTCTTCTATTGTCCTTGATATATGCAAGTTTCTAACTCTGATCACAGATAGTCTAAGAAGCATGAATACAGCACTGTTCTGGTTTAAACAGTGTTTTTGAGACGGGACAACATAGACAAGAATGAGGAGGTAAGACAGACAGGAAGTGACGTTGTCAATACACATTTGATTAAGATGATTCAAAAAGTGTAACATTACAGCCTCCGGTCACTTGACACGACTGTCCCTCCTGCTGATGTGAGGTTGCAGAGAAGAAGAGGTGGGTTGTCTCAGAGTCTTTGATAGCTTCATTGGTTTCTGATGCATTGTGGGAAAATACACTTATTTTTAATGCAAATGAAATCAGGGAAAAAGTCCCTTTTTGCTGCATTGGGCAGGGAAGGAAAGAGTATTGGAAAACTGTACTAAAGTAAAAGTAAGATTACTTATTATAGTTTACATCGTTACAACAAGGCAGTTCTAAGGCACAGAGGAAGACGAAATATCAGGTTTTGAATACACAAACTATTAATCCCTGCAGCCTTATCAAATCTCAAACAACGGCAGTTTCCACTCTGGATGGAAGGAGAAGCCAACGGATGCATAATTTACTCCGTCGCCGAGGATTTTAGCTGCAACCTGCTTCCAGAATCAGCAAAGTAACTGCAGAGTGTGTGTGTTCGTAAATGTGCATGAGACGACCCAGTCCTCTGTGGTGAGCTTTGATTTTCACTGTGAATCTGCTGTGATGCTGTTTCTCGTCTCCCCTGATAGGTTGTTCTCTCTGTGTGTGTGTGTGTGTGTGTGTGTGTGATGTAAAAATAGATCTTTTTACCCATGAGATCTCTCTCTCTCTCCGTTATTCTCTCTCCCTCTTCTGCGGTTCAATCTGAAGCTTCCATAACCAACGTAACGTTCAAAATGATTCCAACAGAAAGCACTCACAACCTCTTTTCCCTTCTCTGCGTCTCTCAGGATGTCGATCGTCAGCATCGTTGCCAGGGAGATCTTGGACTCCCGGGGAAACCCCACTGTTGAAGTGGACCTTTGCACGGAGAAAGGTGACGAATATCAGAGGGAAACTAAGAGCAACAACATGATAATGTGGATGTCAGATTCATCAGATGACCATCAATCAGTTCTCCGTTGAGGGAAGATTTTGTCTTCTCAGTTTAAGCATGCTTCCGTAAACCCCACTGAGATAAAAACACATCACATGACATTTTATACAAGATGATTTATAGAGGATTTTTATAGAGAGCATACATGCAACACAGCCTCAACTCGTCGAATACCGACGCTTGGTCATTGGCTCTGTGACACTCTACGTTCCCCTCTAGCGTCAGTTTGGGGCGTGTCTGAGGCAGCGTGTTAAGTAAACTTCCAATGCAGGTTGACTTATTTGATCTCGTGAAGGGCTCATTGCATGGGGAGGACATGGTCTCAAAAAAGTATATAACGCAATTGTGCAAAATTAAAACGTCTTTATCCTACACGGCAAAGTGTGCATTTAAAATGACCGACACAGGTCTTCATCAGTGCAGGTTGACTTAGTTATTAGATTTACTTACTCAACAGGAAAAGATCGTGGTTAAAATAACTGTTTGTTAAGTAATTACTGTTAGTTAAGTTATGTAACAAAACTACGTTACAATAAAACAATTATGACTTGGTGTCACATGGGACGCGGCCAGCTGAGTGAAAGTCCAATGTTGGTTCCGTCCAACCTGCCCTACCAACTGCTCTTTATTGACTTTCTTGCAATTTAAACTATGTTAGTAGCCTTAACTGTCTAATAATGCTGTGGATGTGATTTCATTGGAGTTTGTTGAAAGCCTGGTGCATCTCACGCAGACGCTAAAGAGTTGCGTCGGTATCAGACGCCAAGGGGCACTGACCAAGCGGCTAACGAAACACATTTTCAGACCTCTCATATAGCTCACAGAAAAAGGAAAAAGAGAAAGAGGGACATAGAAAAATAGTCAATTTGTTTTAATTTGGGGGGGGGACTCCCAAAAGGGAGGATGAGTATTAAAGGGTTAATGTGTCAATGTTTAAGTCCTGCCCATCGGTAGAATTAAGAGTATGAACTGCGTGTTGGCTTTGTCCTCTCCTCTCTCCATTCCTTGCATTTAAAACTTGAATTCTTTCAGGTCTGTTCAGGGCTGCGGTGCCCAGCGGAGCATCCACAGGGATCTACGAGGCTCTGGAGCTCCGCGATGGAGACAAGAGCCGCTACAAGGGCAAAGGTACCGGAACCCACCGACTGTGTTTGCATGTTTAAAAGCTATATATACATTAGAGGTTTGGTGAGAGCCAGAAGGACTCAACTATACAGTCTAGGTGCAGCTGAAAGACCAAAACAATAAGCAACAGAGACAGAAATGTCCGTCTCCTTTTACCTTTCCTCCTTTCTTTGTTGCAGAATTACAATTTCCCTTTGCTGGCTGACTTATGTTCGTTTGTCCTCTCTTCTTCTAGGAGTTTTGAAGGCGGTCGGGCACATCAACGATACTCTGGGTCCCGCCCTTATAGCCTCCGTAAGTCACTGAAACATTCATACACTACATCCGACTATAACCACATTCTACATACCGAGTCTGGTATCCAGCAGTACTTCTAAAGTCAAAGATGTGGTGTTGTTGTGCCTCCACCGTCCACACGGTCAGATTGATTCAGTTGGATCAGTTAATCAGCAAATGTCCAGTTTGGACCTTAAGTGTGAACACAACGACCTCGGTGACACCAAACGCAGGTTCAAGCCACGAGAATCAGATAAATTTATTGAAGCAGTCGGTAACGGAGGAGCAATGTGATGAGTGAGTGTGTAGAGATGCTGTGAACGAAAGATGACGATCGTTTGTCTGTGTGAGAATGAAGTGTGAGTGAGTGAGAGGAACAGTGAACGAGTGAGTGTGTGTTTGTGTTGTTGTGTGTACGGGATTGTATGAGTGTGTGTGAGAATGATGTTATAATATCTGCAGCAGTGCAGCACTTTTTTGATTGCTGATCAATGATGATCCATATTGGCAGATACAGAAATACTTTCTGTATCTATAGTCATCTACAGTGGTCTTTGCATAAAATCACAAAATTCAAATGACAAATCATATATTTATTTATAATAGCTTCTTAGAGCTAGTGTTAGGAAGTTAAACGGCTCATAATTCATCTCTAGTATCTATTTTATATTGTTGCGAAAAACATCTTCAAACAACTGGATTCATTCAGTTTCTCAAGATTACATTTGAACACATCTTGGTAATGTTTTAATTTACATTCGCCCAATGCTCACTTTCACTGAACTGATTTTTTGTTCACAGTGCAACATAATCAGGGATCAGCGAATAGAAAGCATGAATGCTGATGTCCTCATATCTGAATAACGATCGTCATTTATTCACAATGTACAAGCAGGGAGAAGACGGAAACACACCTCTGGACACTGACAAGAGTAGATTTCAATAGATTTATGTGTTTTAATACAGCGGCTCTAAACCTTTTTCATGTCGAGGTCCTCTAAACCGACACACATTAGTTCAAGGACCTCCACCTGAGAAGATTATAGAGCGCTGCGGAAATGAGTCCGGAAGATGACTCAGCGTTTTTGCGCTTCCTGTTCCCTCGTCTCAAAGTCAATGAGTTTTTTTTAATGTCTTTTGGTTACATGTCTGAAATAAGATCTGTGTTTAACACAATCTAAAGATATTTTAACGTTTAATTCTCTGATATAAAATAGGTAATAAAAAAACCCTGAATTTAGAAGCTTTTAAGCGTCTAAATGAGACGACAAGACGTCCTCACTAGAGCACTCGTCCTCCTTTAGCTCAGTGGTGGAGATGTGAAGTCATGTGACTGTGGTGAAGTTCCTTTATAGCCTAACGTTAGCTTTTCACTTCAGCTGATTGTATTTACGCTTTAAAAATCGTAAAAGTGGTGTTAATTCGTGAAGATTATCTTGCCGAACAGAATGTATAAGTATCATAAATGTTTATTTTCTGCAATAATCTAAAATCCAATGGAAGAATCCCATTGGATCAGAACAGAGTAAACATGATTATTGCTGTTTTACTTAAAGGGCGTTGAGATTTTTCTCTTTACACTTTGGACAGAATGACTCCATCTTCTCTGGAAAACAAAGATCAAGTGTCATGGCAATGAACACTATTGATCGGGACCAGCATCAAATGATACCATAATAAAGTTACTGTACATGTAATTAAATTACTCAAAAGTATGATTGGTGGACTGTCGAATTTAATAAAAGGTTAAAACTGCAACTTTTCTTTCTCACACAGTTAGCTTGGTAAATTCACATCTGTACAAAAGTAACTATTATTATTATTTGTATGATATATAATGTCAAATATGGACTTCAAAACCTCAACAGATTTGAGCCAAAATTGATCCCAGAAGATGTCTGAATGTGTCAATAAGGTAAACACTTGTAGTCTTAAGAACTTGTTGTCAAAAAGGTAATATATTGCTCCACCTGTGCGTGTTTTTTACGGTGTGTTTCTGTATTTGTGTGAGCAGGGCATCAGCGTGGTGGAGCAGGAGCAGCTGGACAACACGATGATCGAGATGGACGGAACAGAAAACAAATGTGAGTCGAAAAAAACACGGCTTAGTCAGAGTCCACCAGCTGGAAATCCTCCTCTTCCTCCTCCTCCTCCTCCTCCTTCTCTTCCTCCTACTCCTCCTTCTCTTCCTCCTCCTCTTCCTCTTGTCGCTGTCGGACTAAACTGGAGCTGAATGTGTTGTGATTGAATGTTTTTAATTAACTTTCTGTCCTCGTTGAAATATACACAATTATAAGCAGATTAAAAGTCTCAGAGAGAGTTCATTTATGTTTATCGCAAAGAATAACAAGTAAACCGTGAGGATGTTTTTATTTGTTTGTGTTGGTAATTCTTCTGTTTAAAGTATTAAGAAAACAGCAAGTTACCAAACAACATTTTTAAAAATACTGTTAAAAAAACCCTAGTTTGAACAAGTTGAAGATGGTTTAAGAATTTAAATGCTTCACTTACAGGCGAAATGAAAAGGAGAATTACAAAAATTACAAGAATTTAACAAAAGATTGTTGAAAAATAAAAATAAAAATTAAGCTGCACATAATGTCTGGTTGTAAATCTAAATTAAATGTTATTATTTTTAATTCATCTGAATTATTAATGTTGTTTTTGGTCCAAATTTGAAAATAATCTGAAATAAAAATTCATTATTTAGTCATAAACTGAATGTCTGTTAACTCCTCCCACATGAATAACGGCTACAAATGCAAATTTGAATTGAAATAAAAGGAAAATACCAAGTTGTATGAGGACAGTAAAATAATGAATACTTTCCTGTTTTCTGTCCCGTCAAACAGCTCAGTTTGGGGCCAACGCCATCCTGGGAGTGTCTCTAGCCATCTGTAAGGCCGGTGCGGCAGAGAAAGACGTCCCCCTGTACCGCCACATAGCCGACCTGGCCGGAAACACAGAGCTGGTGCTGCCGGTTCCTGTAAGACACAAACTCACTGCGTCTACACACGAAAACATGACGATGACGAATTCCCTTTGCTACTAAGTGATTTAAAAAATAAAAAAGTACATTTCCTGTTACAGCAACGAGATGAGACATTTGGGTGTAACTGTTTGTTGTTTGGGTTACGTGATAGAAAAGTAAAAGCTGCACACCAACTGAAACGCATACGTTTAATATTTAATCTTTTTAAATGCGTTACACTCTTTTCACACGCACGCATTTTTGTTTTTTCACGTGTTTGCACTGTAACATGATCTGGATTATTGACTTTTAGACTTTAACCCCAAATTACAATTCACACATGTGCAGAAGTTTACAGATGTTTCTTAGTTTCTGATATTCTCCTCTCGTTTCCTCTCCTTGTCTCCTTGTGTTCTCCTCTCCCCATTCTTCTTCTGTTCTCTGGTTTCCTCTCCCATCTTCTCCTCATTTCCTCTCCTCACGTTTCCTTTCCTTTTCTCATTGTTTTGCTTTCTCCCCTTTCTTCTTCTATCCTCTCATTTCCTCTCCCCTCTTCTTCTTGTTTCCGCTCCTCTCATTTCTTCTCCCCTCTTCTCCTTGCTTTCTCTCCTCTCCCCTTTCTTCTATCATCCACTCATTTCCTATTCCCCTTTTTTCCGTATTCCTCACTTATCCTTGTTTCCTCTCCTTGTCTCCTTGTTTCCTCCCCCCTTCAGGCCTTTAATGTGATAAATGGAGGATCTCATGCAGGCAACAAACTGGCCATGCAGGAGTTCATGGTTCTTCCTGTTGGAGCCGAGTCTTTCAAGTAAGAATCCATCTCCAAAACTACAACATGAACATGAAGGATTCATAGTTTACCATTTATGTCTTCTAAATCAATATCTAAGCTCTTTAATCTTTCCTGTTGTCTTGTTTCAACTCCTTTCACGTGATTTCTTTCTCTCCTGCTGATGTTGGTCTCTCCACTCTCTGACCATCTCGTCCTTCTTCCCTCCCTCCGTCCCTCAGGGAGGCGCTGAGGATAGGATCGGAGCTGTACCACACTCTGAAGGGGGTGATCCAGGAGAAATACGGCCAGGACGCCACCAACGTGGGAGACGAGGGAGGATTTGCTCCCAACATCCTGGAGAACAGTGAGGGTGAGGATCCTCTGTTTAACCCCCACCCGCCTCGTCTTCTTCACTCTCTTCACATGTGGAGAAACAAGTGCATGGCTGCGGTCGAATAGTCCTTTTCTTTCAGGACATTTATTGCTGAGCTAAAACAAAAATCTCTACTCCCTGCTCTCCATTTCATCCCTTCACTCCTCAGCTCTGGATCTGCTGCAGACGGCCATAGAGAAGGCCGGCTTCACGGACAAGGTGGTGGTCGGGATGGACGTGGCCGCCTCCGAGTTTTACCGTGATGGGAAATACGACCTGGACTTCAAATCCCCACCGGATCCAGAGAGACACATCTCTGGAGAGGAGCTGGCTGACATCTACCAGGGCTTCGTCAACAACTACCCAGGTGGACTCTACATCTTTTAGTTGATCTTCAGGTCGGAGACAAGACGTCTGTTTTTATTCACCTCTCCTCCCTCCTTCCCAGTGGTGTCCATCGAGGACCCGTTCGACCAGGACGACTGGGAGGCCTGGTCCCGTCTGACGGCCCAGGTGGGGATCCAGGTGGTGGGGGACGACCTGACGGTGACCAACCCGAAGAGGATAGAGAAAGCTGCCGAGGAGCGAGCCTGTAACTGCCTGCTACTCAAAGTCAACCAGATCGGCTCCGTCACCGAGGCCATACAGGCGTACGTCTGCTTTAAGTCAATGTCAACAACAGTTTTAGATCGTTTAAATACTAGAGAGGCTAAGTCTCTCCCTTCTGGTTGACCTTATTTCGGATGAAACATACGGTAGTCAAGGTTCAAGGTTCGAGGATCACTTATTGTCTTGATGCAACACAGGGATGCGCAACAAAAGTCAGTTGTGGCCCATTTGTAACACAACAAACACAAACAAAACAAACCACGTCGGCCAAACAGAATAGCGTTTTTTATTTCTAAAACGTGCATAAAACCTCGTGGACGGGAACTCACTCAGCGGCTCTTTCGTTTTGCTTTCAGTTGTTTTACTTCTTAATGTAGAAACTAACACTTTATTAAATGAAATCTGCTTTATTAGGAGGCTTCACAGATCTACAAACACGACTGTGTGAAGACAACGTTGGTCCCACGCTACGCACACTACTACTCTCTTCTCAGAGAGGAAGATAATCTAATATGGCCGCCTCGGGCCGGCGAACTTGGACTGATTAAAAAAGGTCATCCGTCTTGGCTGAGACGACAGAGAGGCCTATAGGGAGATACGTGGAGGCCCAGCTGCTCTGCTATCAATCACGCATGTGGAAACACACACGGCATGTTGTCAGTCATCACTCATTACCTGTCAGCCATGTTGACCTTGTGCCGGAGAGCAGGAGCTCCGATCCGACCTGAGCAGGAGATAAACGTAGGACGGGAAGTGACAGCGAGGTTTTTAGTTTGAAGATTAGCCGTCAATCCAATGCAACGACGCAGCTACGGCGTGGACTGTACTGTGGATGTCTTTGTGCAGAGAGTGTGTACTGCAGTCTCGAAATGTGTGCGTCATCAATCTCAGACCTAACAAAACGTCACTCAGGGTTATGAAGCCATCAGTCATGACAGAGGAGCTGCATTACAGCAGAAGGGGGATGAAACAGATGGAAAACAGTGTTGATGACAGCTGACGTGATGTATTGTGCCCGTCACATGAAAAGCTTCCTGCGTCGTTAATCTGGTATATTGTTTTAATTTCTCAGCAGGATGAGATCTTGTTCCTTTTTTAAAACCTCAAATTTGATCCCAGACAACAACAGCATCTTAATTGTCAAGTTGTTAGCAGGTTAACGTTTCACGTGAGCTCAAATAAATCCCTAGTTAATTAACTCTAAGATTGATAAAACAGACACGATTTCAAGCTTTAAATAAGTAGATATTAACATGAAACTTCCCCAGTTGTTTTTTTGCCTTACAAGTTTTCTGAAATGTTTAAATATGCAAATGATGCGTCATCTTATCTAATTGTCATACATTTCAACAACAGAAATCTGAACATTGGATAAAGCCAGGTTTAAAATCCCTGTTTTGTTTAGTTGACGTATTAGAGTCAAATGTTTTTATAGAGGGAATAAAATATAAATCAGGCTCTGAATAATATATGAACAAACCCCTCTGTGTTAACCTTCAGCACATAGAGAGGAATGAAAGTGTAAAGTTTGGTGAATGTAAGAGCTGCTGAAGTGGAGATTTATCATCAGAGTCTGAGAACAAACTCTTTTAGAGAAAACGTCCTTTAAAGGGACGTGTAGTTACATTACAGACACTGTGAAGACCTAAATCCAGTACGTAAGTTACAGAGTAAAGTAAGAGTACTTAGTTACTTTCCAGTTCAAACTAAAATCTAACAGTGGACTCAGCTGTCGAGCTACTAGGAGCTCGTTGTTGTTCTTTGTTCTGTGTCTCCGATGAGTGAAATACGTTCTGTCTTTATACCGTGAACATCAGGGGGTCGTGTCTGATCACTTTCTCTCTCGTGTCCGTCTCTCAGGTGTAAACTGGCTCAGGCCAACGGTTGGGGTGTGATGGTCAGCCATCGTTCAGGAGAGACAGAGGACACCTTCATCGCCGACCTGGTGGTGGGACTCTGCACTGGACAGGTGGGGACGACAAGTCACCACCGAGTGACGATATCACGATTAGTTCATCCGTTTGGTTCTCTTGGGTCCTGACCTTTGCTGCCTGTGTTGCAGATTAAGACCGGCGCCCCCTGCAGATCCGAGAGGCTGGCCAAGTACAACCAGCTGATGAGGTCAGTGTGCCGCACGCACACAAACCAATGCATGAACCAGTGAAGCTTTATTGGGATGCAGTAGCGAGATACAGTTCTGGACATGCTGTAAAGGACCTTTCCCTCTAATCTTTTTGTACACATTTTGCCAAAACTGAGCCCAACATCTTTGGAAACATTCGGTCAGAGTATTAGAACGGGTCAAACAAACACAGGACTTTCACCCAGAAGATCAGCTGTTTGTGTCCTGTGACTTTGCGCTTGTTATGTAACGGTTTGTCAGGAAGTTGGTTGATTATTTTTGCTAGTTATGTTGTCATGTTACATTTCTATCTTGTTATTTGAACATGTCGTCATGCGTTTCTGCAAGCGTGATATGAGGCTGAAATGAGACGTATTTTACGAAGTGTATCTTTGGTTCAGAAACGTCAACATTCAACGTATCTTGCGGTTTGCAGAAACGTACAGAAACGTACGATGCCATTAGGGGGAATGGGTTGTTCAAAACCCAATTATTAATCATTTTTGTTACTTTATTTTTTTGCTACATTTTTATTATCCTCATCACCTGCTGGCTGATTTATTTCCCCTCATAACGTAAAGTCATGGCAGCAAACTTTGTCTTTATAGGATCTAGACTCAAAAAAACAACATAATGACGGAAACTCCTATAATTTAATATTATTATTATACATCTGATTCTCTGTAACTTTCTTCGGCTCCAAATCTGGCAGCAGCCCTGCTACTGTACAACACGCCTCCTCACATTCCCGCTTTGTCTTAGCGCTAATCATCACAGAGCTAATTGACGTGACAGGCGACAGCAGCGCCGGTGTCACCCCATGTGTCCGAGCCAGTCAGCAGCAGGAGCAGTGGGAGGAGGAGGAGGGAGGAGAGAGGAGGGAGGAGGGAGGAGAGAGGAGGGATCGGCTCAGCGTTGTAATCCCATCGGACTGCTGAGGAGACGCAGGAGAGGTGGAGGGAGGAGAGATTTACAGGGGTATTAACCAGCGATAAATGCTAATCAGTGCAGTGAAGCGTGCACGCACACGTGTACAGACACGCCAAATAAATGAGTCATTTACACTGTGGCAAGTGCACAGTGGCAGCTTTGGAGATGCTTTTTTTTTTTAATCCAGCAATTTAATATTACATTTCCATGAATTTCAGGGATTCAAGTGAAAAGTCGAAAGCAGGAGAGAAATAATCTTTTTGAGTTTTGTTTTCCTGAATGCATCTCTCGATAAACTTCCTCTGCAGACACGGCAGACATTATACAACTTATTTTACAGCCTAAAAATAACTAATAATGACAAGAAACTGATTAATCCTTAACAAGAATGGAATTATAGTTTTAGCAAAAAAAGAAAACCAATCTGGAGTAGGCGGGAAGTTAGAGAAAAGATGAAGTATGAATGGATATGTCAAACACGGGACTTTCACCCAGGAGACTGGTGTTCGTGTCTGTTGAGACTGTTTGGTTTCACCTTTTAGTTTTGATTTGTGAGCAGAGAGCTGACCGACTGACACCTCGGAGCTTTGTATTTTAAACTCCGCTCTGTTACATGTCAGACATGTTTTCACATATATGTTTAAATAATTTCTCTCTCCACTCCGTCCTTGTCCCATCTCTCTCTCTGCAGGATTGAGGAGGAGTTGGGCGACCAGGCTCGCTTTGCAGGCCATAACTTCAGGAACCCCAGCGCCCTGTGAAACTGACAGATGAATGACTCACACACACACACACACACATACACACACACATCTAAACTGACAGACATGCCAAACATGGGAACGAGCCATGCACTATGAAATATCACACATTCATGAAAAAACACAGGAGCAAAAGAGCCAAGCAAAAAATGCTTAAAGATTAAATAAATTATGCACTGGACTTATAGGTGATGATGCTGTATGCACACACACACACACACACACACACACACACACACACACACACAGATAGAGTATGCAGATGCAACACGTGCTCACGCACATGCAGCGGAATACCATCAAAATATCAAATTTATAAGCCAGACATGCACTGTTACTGTAGTTTTAATAGTTCATGTACAGCCAGAGGACGGACCTGCAAAAATAAAGATTATTGTTGTAAAAACAGAGAGAGAAATAAGTAGAGATATAATAGAATACTTTAAACTGACGCACGCAACTGAAAGGTATGAAAATGAAAAAGAGAAAAAAGAAAACTTTCAGCACCAAAAAAAGGACGACGCACTCTCAGAAAGAAACACAAAACAGCTGTTTCAGGGACTGAGTGAAAACAATTTAAAAAAGTACGACACAAACACACTTACACACTCAGCTATGTCTCACTCTCACCTGGACACTGAAGTACCACCCACTTCTGTCCTCCTTCCTTCCCGCCCTCGTTTTTGTCTCCTCTTTCCTTCTCGTCGTGTCTGTTTCTCAGTTTTTAAAACCCTCTCTTTCTTCCCGCCCTGATGTGATTCTGATTATTTGTCCTTTATGCTTGAAAAAACCCCACCTTTGTCCAAAAGAAAAAGAAAACAAATCTAAACGCCTGAATCCCTTCGTTCCTTCTGTTCCCCCTGAATGTCCATAGGATAGCTGTGTTAAGAAAAGACGAAAGAAAATGAATAAAATAAAAAAAAAGAATGCTTGTCATTGAAAACAATGTGAAAATATGTGAAATAAAAAGATGGTAATTTACAATTTCAATCACAGTTAAAAGATTTTTGTCTTTTTTTTGTGTCCGTGTTTCTTGTTCAGTTCAGTTTTTTTGTGATTTTTTACAACTCAACTTGACTGAATTTCTAGCTGCTTTATAAAAAAGAAGAAAAGGTAAACGGTAATCGACGGTTTGATTTTGTTTTTGCCCTTCATGTCCCTCCCGGGACTCCGTAGTTTTTGGCGTAAACACAGCTGTAGTATTCTAAAATTGCAACTGCTGAGAGAACCTGCTGGTAATCACAACAGGTCATACGGTAAGGGACGGAAAGTAAAGTTTGAAACTTTAAACTTCTCTGCAGAGTTTGTGAACACAAGACGTTTTGTAGGTCTTTAAAGCTTTAAAGGCAGCAGCATGTTTATCTCCTTTCAAACCCAACATGTGGGGCCGTGACCCCCAAAGGGATCCCGAGATGATGACAAACATTCAGTTTTTCTTCCACGTAAATATATATTCATATATTTAACATCACTTTGGTTCCACATCTCACGGTCACTTTAAATCTGCTTCGTTTCACACCAGGATAAGAAGACTTCATATAAACACAACACGAATCAAACAAAACCTGTTTCCACGTTTTATATATTTATTCATTCATTTAGGTCCAGTGTTGAACATACAGCGGAAGTGTTAACGACATCTTCCACAGTAAAAGTCCCTGACTCTTCAAAGCTGCGTAACAACTGAAAGAAACATATTTTTACTTTATATTATAAGTACATTCTATCCACAGCTTTTATTTTGAAGGGCCATTTGGGTGAGAGAGACAACGAGGATCAACATTAACACAACATTAGAACAGAGCTATTAACACACAGGACAACCTGGGGTGACTGATCCTCAAACTCTAATCGATACCAGTGTTTCCTGTCGTTCACACACACGAAAGAAACAGTGTTCAATGCATCACATCTGTATTTCATATTTCTTCTATCTCTCAAATGAAGAAAGCAAAACAGCTCACACTTTCTTTTATCCCCTGAAGATGAACTCACGTCCTCTTTAAAATAAATAAATACAATCAGGCTGGAAACACGAGGATCTATTTGATGTTTACTGACCTTTAAATCAACACAATCAAGTTGCATGATATTTGATACAGTAACCAAACACTATTAGAAACAGACCAAATGGTAAAAAGAAGAAGAAATGTACAGTAGTTTGACTCTGTGCTGTAATATGACAAATTATAAAGAGCAAACGTACAGGTAACAGATTATTACCTTTTCAAAATAAAAGTGGTCTAATTCGACACACGTCTGTCTGTGGATCAGTCAGCCCAGTTTGAGGACACGTGGTGACTAAAATCTAAAGGGTGTTGTTCTTTGGTCCCGACGGAGACGTTTTTTTGTGCTACGCACGTGCCGCGTTGATGATGTCGACAAACTCGGGCTTGAGAGAGGCTCCGCCCACCAGGAAGCCGTCCACGTCGCCCTGAGACGCCAGCTCTCTGCAGTTCGCTGCCGTTACTGAACCTGAAGAGCAAAAAGAAAAAGAAAAAAGAGGTGATTTTGTGGTGAAATTAAACCCGACGTCGATACAGAAAAATAAAGAGAAAAGACACATTTACTTTGCAAAATTCGACTTTTTATCTCTAGAACTTTAAAATCTCTAAATAATGAGCAGCAGCGAGGGCTCCGAGTCCTCTAAATGCTAAAGGAAAGGTGCTCCAGTGCTTCCTTTCTTATCTCCTCCAGCAGAGGAAACACCGGACCCTCCTTAACAAAAGGAAAGAAGATAACGCCGTCCAACAATTTCCCTTTGCTTCGGCTACATTTAAAAAGACGCACATCAATAACATCGACAGCGTTGAGAGTAGTCGGACTCCCTTAGCGCCGCGGTTGTTGGATTTGTTGAAGAAAAGCCAGATATAAAAAGGTATGACTCTGAGCACAGCGGAGTACTACACGTGTTCATGTGCTATTTACTTAAAGTTTACGTTTGTTTTTCTTCTTTTCGTGACTCTAAAACCAAACTTAAAGACGCATCACATGAGCCTGCTGTTTAATTTCCCTAAGACCTCCAGCGGAGTCGGGTCACGGTGCTGATACTGACCTCCGTAGATGATCCTCACAGAGTCGGCCACGTCGTCTGAGACGTTGGCTCGGAGCCACGCCCGCAACTTCTCGTGGACCTCCTGAGCCTGCACACACACACACACACACACACACACACACACACACACTTAAGAGATGAGATCAATCATTTGCTCGCGGTAAGCCGAGTTTATACCGGAGAAACTGGATCTGCAGGAAGGCTGTTACTGGTGAACATAAAAGGCTTTAATGATAGCAAACAATAAAATAACCAGGTGTCTAATGACTCCAATCGTCTGCCTTCAGGTCAATGTTGCGTCGGTGTCTACCTGCTCAGGTGAAGCCGTCTTGCCTGTGCCGATGGCCCACACAGGTTCGTATGCCAGCACCACTTTCCCCCAGTCCGTCACGTTCTCTGGAACACATGAAGCAATATTTTCAAACCAGAAAAGGTCATTTTAAACATGCAACATGAAGCTGTGGCCACGAAGACATCGACGCTGAGGTTGAACACCCCTCAAAGCAGCAAAAAAAATGTGAGCTGGAAAAAATCCCTCCTGTTTTCTGTGAGATCTCAGGAGACAGAATCCTGCATCAACAGAGCAACAAAGACAACTCAAGATCCAGCAGAGACCACTGATCACTGAATCATTTACATTTTGAATCGGCGTGCAGCCAGAAGTAGGCTGCCTGTAACCAGAGGAAAGACCGTCGATGAAACCTGTGAACTGGGGGTTGTTTCTACCGGCAGAGACACGAGGACTGAAGAACGGGACACAACATGAGGAGAATAGTTGAACGTGAAATGACATCACTGTTTGTGATGTTCTTAGTTGAGGTATTTATTAAATATTGAGTAATAAAAGGCATAACATGCAAAGATAAGAAACAAAATCATTTGCTCTTGTCACTTTTGAATGAGAGTTAAACAATTTAAATAAAGAAGAAATAAAATCAGTGATTTCTTTTTTGAAAATCAGCAGGAAAACAGAAAAAAAACAGAAGATCCACAAGACAAAAAATGTAATAATACAAAATAATAACAATAAGAAAAATACAGCACAATAAAAAAAAAAGTGCATTATTTCCTTCGTTTACCTGCAATGACCTGCGTCTGAGCGTAGACGACTTCTTCGGTGGTGCCGGCCTCCCGCTCCTCCAGCTTCTCCCCGATGCAGGCGATCACAGCCAGACCGCTCTCCAGAGCGTGAGCCACCTGAGAGGCAACCGGACTCAAGTCTTCACCCGCATCAGCAACTTCTTAAAACTCATTTCTACACACTGGCTTTCATGTGGTGTCGTCTTTATAGCCATCTATTTTATTATTATTACTTTATTTGTTACTTTTAGTCTGTTCATGTCGTATCTTTTGTACCGTTTTATCAGGGTTTGACTTCACTGTTGAGCTTTCTGTGATGTTGCTTTAACTTTGTCTGTCAAAGCACTTCTTAAACTCTGTTTTTAAAAAGGTGCTAGATAATAAAGTTATATATTATTATTGTTATTATTATCTGCAGACCTGATGCTTGTGCAAAGCACTAACAGGTTTTAATTTTACTGTTTAATTTGAATGCTCTTATAGATTTGGGGTGGAACACCCATTACAGTAATATTATCAGGTATATACACATCTGCACAACACCACTGTTTTTACATGATTTGACTCTTTTACTGTTGTTAATTTGCCAAAAAGATACGTCCAGGAACATTTTCAGATGAGTGTTTTGAGACTGAAAAAATATCCAAATTAAAAAACAAAAACCTCTGGAGCAGGAGGAAGCGTGTCTCACCTTCTGACCAATCAGCTCGTCGCCTTCCCCAAAGACGTGGCGGCGCTCAGAGTGTCCCAGTATCACCCAGTCGACCCCACAGTCCTTTATCATGGCCGGGCTGGAGAGAGAGGACAGCGTTGTAGTCAAGACCCCCGAAACCGAGAAATGTGGAACGTGCAAAACATAATCACTCCTCAAACTGATCTGAAAGATCCACATTCCCAAAGAAAACAACGGAAGATTCCTCTTCATTCACCCCTTTCATTGCCATATCTATATATCTATATAGATAGATAGATAGATAGATAGATAGATAGATAGATAACTAACCAGTGTAAAGATTTAAAAACATAAGCGTAACATGTGCGCTCTTGTAGCTGGCTTAATGATTTCTTTGTAAAACCAGAAAGGAGAACGTTGACCAATCTCGAATACTAAAACACTGCGAGAGGAAACATGTTTTTGTGAATGTGAGGACGCCCGAACATCAAATTATGTCTCGATAACCTCAAACACACATCAGCCTGCAGTCTAATAAATAACAATATAATGATTAGGAATGACTCGTGAGAGCCTCCATTCAGTGGGTGAGGTACCTGATCTCCCCCGTAAACGCTCCCTTGGCCACCTTGTAACAGTTCTGGGCTGCGACACCGATCCTGAGATCCAGACTGGAGCGAACGAAGTCGAGGTAGATGGAGGGAGCACCGCACACCACCTCTGTAAAACAAATAGGTGCAAAACGTTTTCTTTTTATTGTTTGCACGGCCTTCATCACCATCATCACCATCATCACCATCCCTCCACACACTCGACGGCTCTCATGCATGACTGTAATTCCTCCTCCATGGTGCTTTGTGCAGCCTAACTGGATTTTTATTTTTCTAAATTCTGCATTTGTGTTCACGTTATCCATCCTAAATATTCAGTGCAACTATTCACAGCGACTGTGTGGCTGAGAGGCAAATAAATGGAAGTATTAAAAAAAACAAAAGAACATGCATTTTGTTTCTGAGCTGAAAAGGTTCATTTAGTTCAATTAAATTGGGTTTGATTTGTTTTCAGGTATAGCTGCAGCGTTGCTGTGAAAGCGAGACTAACTCATTTTAAAGCAGCAGAACAACATCTTTAAGTTTCTGTGTTCAGTTCAATAAAGTTAAATTAAGCACCTTATGTTGCTGTCACTTTGGTTTTCAAGTCTGAATAGAATAATTAGCTGAAGCCCCGATGAGACTCATTAAACACGTTCACATGGAATAATGTATTTAAAACAAAACAAAAACACACCTGCAGTCTGAAAAATACTTCTGCAAAAGTCCTGCATTCAACATCCCACTTAAATAAAAGTACAGAACTTTATTACGAGCTAAATGTACTTGAAGTATCAGAAGTACTAAGGGTCACAAGATACATCTGAGGGGTCATGAGAGGAGTAATAGGAGAGGAAACATTAAGGGGATAATATTCAGAGAAAATAACTTGGATATCCTCTAACGTTAAGTCATAAATCTGTGTTTTTAAACAAACATTAATAAATACTGATATGAACAATATAGTTCAAGTTGCTGCAGTATTTTTGTGACTTTAATCTATGACTCTATAATCTTCAAGAAAATCCAAGATTTGTCTCATAAATGCACACATTTCTTTCTCTGAATTTGACCCCCGTCCCCTGGCTCAGTCTTCTTCTTCATTTTCTTTTTTAAAAACCTACAATATGCAGACGTATGAATCTGTTTTCATTTGCCTGTAATCTTTGTTTACTTTTTTATATTAGAGAGTTTAAAGCCTTCTGGGCCTCAAACAGTTACATAAATCAAAGTATCTGAGAAGTTAAGAGAGGAAAGTCATCTTTAGATAATGTCTTTCTGTTCGGTCGGGCAGGAGCCCTGGGATTATAAAATCCCACTAATTACAGCTGCCAATAAAGTTATAGTGGAGTAAAAAGTACAATATTTACCCCTGAAATATAGTAGAAGTACCTTAAAATCACACCTAAGTATTTGAGTAAATGTACTTAGTTACTCTCCAGTGAGGATAAAGCAGACGCGTCAGAGGCCTTCATGCGACTCATCCTGATCACATGACTCCCAATGTCAGCGTGTCATCAGGGCAGCACCTCCTCCTCCTCCTCCTCTCTGTCTGACTTCATGTCCATTACTTTTTATTTTTTATTTATTGATCTCTGCATCATAAAACCTGCAGAAGAGTTCATCCACAGACTGCGTTTTAAATGTGCGTCAAGTTACCGGTCTGGTCGTCCAGGCTCGCGGTGTTCAGGGTGGAGATCAGCTGCTCCAGACTCTCCCTGTTGCCGTTCATCTTCCAGTTTCCTCCCACGAAGAAGCTCCGGAGCGCCATGGCCGGCAGAAGGTGTCCGGTACCCGGGTGGAGGAGAGGCGGTGGAGGTCCGGAGGATCACTTCAGCTGCGGGATGAGGACTCCGGCTGGTGTGTACGTCAGGTGCTGTCGGAAATATGAGAACCCAACACGGGCAGAATAAAACGACGTCCTTCTTCTTCTTGTTTGGTGTTTATAAAGAGAGTCAAACAGCTTTATGGCGCATTACTGTCACCTGTTGTTACAATGAAGTATGACATCCCCTCTGAGATGGATAGATGGATAGATGGATAGATGGATAGATAGATGGATAGATGGATAGATAGATGGATAGATGGATAGCAGCAGCATTATGATACAGGTAAGCAATCAAAGTAACAGAGTAAAAAAAATGCACAACATATACAATAATCTAGTGTACTGTTTTATCAAGGTTTTATCTCTTATGGTAGTTTGTCGTGCTTTGTTGGGCCTCACTGTCGAGCTTTCTGTTGTTTTACTGTCTTGCTTTTGCTGCTTTGTCTGACAAAGCACTTTGTAAACTCTGTTTTTAAAGGTGCTATATAAATACAATAATATTATTATTATTTATGGGAAATAACAATATATAGACAGGTTTACAAATCATGTTCAATCAGTTGTATTTCAGACTCCAATCAAGGTGAACGTCTCAAAGATGATCAAGAGGCACCTGAGCTAAACATCAAGTGTAGCAAAGGATGAATACTTATGTCAATGTGATAATTGTGTTTTCATTTTTTAAATAAACTAGCAAACATTTTTAAAACCCTGTTTTCACTTTGTCATGATGGAGCATTGAGTGTAGCTTGATTAGGGAAAAAAATAAATTTAAATGATTTTAACATAACAGAATGTGAAAATGAAGGAATCTGAATACTTTCTGAATGTGGACATGATGCTCACTGTACATTATTTGACTGTACATCAACAGTAAATTACAGTCACGTTACTTTCACAGTAAGTTAATGTATACTTTTCAAAGTAAAGTATTGTGAAATGGCAACTGTGACCTCACAGTATAGTTATGCCAGTATATTACTGAGATTTAGCGGTATACTACTGTAGAACTGCTGTATTTAACTTCAAATGTAATATCCAAACTACTGGGATTTAGCAGTACACTATGCTGCTGTAGAATTACTGTATTTAACTGTAACTTCACAGATAGTATCCAGATTACTTTGATTTAGCGGTATAATGTAGAACTGCTGTATTTACCTAACTTCACAGGTAATATTCTGTGATTTACACGTACAGTATGCTGCTGTAGAATTACCGTTTTTATATGTTAACCCATAAATTACCTAAAACATTGGAAAAAAGGTTACATTTTTAATAACAGTTTTTGCAGTTTAATATAAACTTTGCAGTAAAGTTAAACTACTGCATTAATGAAACTATCTCAGTAAAAGGCTGCAACATAAGAGGGAGAGTGAAGGGATCTGAGTACTTTCTGAATGTGAACATGATGTTGCAACAAAATTCTGAGGAAAATCCAAAAGATAACGTACACGTCTGGTTTTTGGTGTCCATCTTGAGTTCACTACACAGCCGCACGTCTTTGCCCCGGCGTTTGTCTGTCCTCCCCACTGTTGTGAGTCATGCTGCTGATGTGTGTTGACCTTGCAAACAAAACTCCCCTCCAGACTAGTTTGTCCTCCTGCGCTTGCACCCTCAGGGGACAAATGTAACTACATGCGTCCTACATGCACGTGTAGAAAATACTAAAATAACTTATTATTGTAGTTATTTCATATCGTTTTCAAGACCGTCCCCAGACATTAACACACACAAACACACCGACTCGGACATGGTGTTAATGCAGAATTCTATGTTTATCAGAAAGATTTTTAACAAACATTTCGTCTTTTTTACAGAGGAACTGCACAAGTGTAAAAGTACTACAAAATGCAGCTGAACCCAGGGGAGTAAAATGAAGAGCACGGGTCTTTACAGAGTGTTTCTCAGGTCAGACTGCCACCCGGCAGCCGGTCTCTCCACCTCTCATCCGTCTTGGTACGTCATCGTATTTGTCACGGTGAGACGGGGGAAACAGCAGCAGCACATCTCGGATCAAAGTCCGCCGGTCGTTAGCAGGGGACCCAAGATGGCCGCTCTACCGTACACGTGTAGTCTGGATATGTGCAGCCCCCAAAAAAACCAACCCCCAAATAAAATAAAGAAAAATAAAGACACTGTACATCAACTCTCCATCCTAATGTGTTAAACTATAAAATACAAATAAATGTACATATCAATCTTTCATCTAAATAAGTGCAGGGCTCTTTTACAGGTCAAAGACAATACAAATAAATTTGTCATCCTACAGTCTTATTTTCAATATTCGAGTGTTCTTTCTTCTTTATTATTGTCAAAAATCTATACGTGTATAATTGACATTCTCGATAAGAGCTTATTTTATGCTCGGTAATCATTTTGAATAATGTGCTATTTTTTAATAGTTTTCTTTGTGATTAAGTCGTCCTGACAACAATAAGACTCTCTTGTACATACAGCGGGATGCATCGTGCACTGGTTACCTGATGCCATTTATACAACGTGACTCATTCGCATCCCTCTCATATTTTTGCATACATGAATGAGGAAGAAGTAGAGAGGGAGAGAGAAAGAGAGGAAGATTTGCACCAAATATCCACCAGCCTCACTTGTCTGGTAGCTTATTTTCCTCTCCTCTTGAGCTCCCTATCTCTCTCATCCTTTTCCTTCCCCTTTCCTCCCCTTCCTCTCTTCCTCCTCCTCTCCCCCTGGCCCGGTGTTTTCCTCCGCCGGGACGCCTCAGTTCCACAGTTTGAGGAAGCTGTCCCAGGATCCTGTGCAGACGCCCATGCCGTCCTCGGGGACGCCGGTGCAGCTCACCCTGTTGTCGTGGCCGGACAGCACACCTGGAGGAGAGGAGGGGAGAGGAGAGAGGGGAGAGGAGAGAGGAGAGAAGAGAGAAGAGAGAGGAGAGAGGAGAGAGGAGAAGGAAGGGGAGAGAAGAGATAGGAGAGGGGAAGGGAGGAGAAGGAAGGGGAGAGAAGAGACAGGAGAGAGGAGAGGAGAAGAGAGGAGAGGTAATGAGAAGAGAGGAGATACGACGAGAAAAGTGGAGAGGAGAGTGAAGAGGAAAGAAGAGAAAAATAAAGGAGAGAGAAGAAGAGAAAAATGAAAGGATAAAAGGATATGAAAGAAGAGGGGAGTAAAGAGCATAGAAAAGGAAGAAAGAAGAGTAAAGAAATGACAGAAGCGGGAATTTTAAATAAAAGATTGAAAGGGAAGGAGAGGTGAGGAAAGGGAGGAAAGGAGAGAAGAGGAGGCAAGACGATAGGAAAGGAATGGAAGAAGGAAAGGAAGTAAGAGGAGAGAGTTTGAAAAAGGAAAAATGAAATTAAAAGAAGCAAAAGTAGAAGAGAAGAGGATAGGAGACGAGAGGAGAGGGAAGGAAAAAAGGAGACTTTGATTCACTCGATCACATCAACACTGATTTTATGTGATATTTGTACTTATCTGCATGTAAATCATATTTCTTTTGTCACTTGAGGGTCTCGATGGTGTTTTTCCTTCATTTGTGAAATTCTCTTTAGCACATTTGAAACTAACCTTTCTACATGTGAGTCTCTGTAAAGAATCTCTGTATTGAAAGAATGAACAACCTGTTTTCTGTTGGAAGTATTTCCTCTTTATAATTATGCATTTAGCATACAGTGCATTAGTGCCACCTACCTGATGCAAGTGCAATTCTATTACTGTTATCTGTAAATACATACAATGAAAACATAGCTTATGAATCAATTGTATTCAGGCCTTTGTATTTATTTAGACCTTAAACTTGACAAGTCAAATTCCAGGTTAAGTTTTTGCATTATTGATGTTTTTTATAAAGGTTATTTAAATTTTCTCAGTCACTGAGACAAGATTAGAAAATTGTCGTAGTCATTTTAAACCCAAACCATGATGTTTCTACTTAACCTAACCAAGTATTTTTTGTGTTATTTTTCATAACTAAGAATATCTTGAAATCCTGAATAAATCTACCCCACTCACCGACTTTCTCTCCCTTCAGTGAGTCCCAGATGTGGCAGTTGAAGTCGTCGTAGCCGGCAAAGATAAGGCGGCCTGAGTTGGAGAGAGTCAAAGACGTGACGCCGGCGTTCAGGCTGGTGTCCTGGTAGCAAATCACCTCCTGGTCGGCGCGCAGGTCGTACATCTTGCAGCTGCAGTCGTCGGAACCTGTGATGATGCAATTTCCACCGGGGTAGTACTGAGGCGAGGAGAGTAGAATATGTATGTGATGATTAAATAATAATAAAGGACGTTCTTTCACTCCGTTAAACTGTTGTTATCCTCGCAGCGTTTGAAAAGAGCAATAGCCGGGTTGCACTCAACACAAGTGCCTTGCTCCAGAGCCCCTCAGTGGTGGCAAAGATGTAAATATTGCTCTTTCAACCAGATATATTCTACCTGTCTGGGGAAACATTTTTATTACTTGTAGTTGTTTTGTGTCAGTAGTCATTTTTGTGTCTCTTTGCAGTTGTTTAAGGCCTCTTTGTAAACATTTCGTGTCTCTTTCTAGTTGTTTGTCGTATCTTTGTAGTTGTTTTCTGTCTATCTGTAGTCATTTTGTGTCTCTTTGTAGTTGTCTTGTGTCTCTTTGTAGTTGCTTTGTGTCTCTTTGTAGTTGTCTTGTGTCTCTTTGTAGTTGCTTTGTGTCTCTTTGGGGTCATGTTGTGTCTCTTGGTAGTACTTTTGTGTTACTTTGTCATCATTTTGAGACTTTTGTAGTTGTTTTGTCTCTGTGTAGTCATTTTGTGTCTCTTTGTTGTCATTTTGAGTATCTTCACAGTTGTTTTGTGATTCTTTTGTTCATTTTACGCCCATTTGCAGTTGTTTTGCATTTCTTTTAGTTGTGGTTCTTATTATGTTAGAGGGCCATCCCAACTGCCTCCTCATCGTAAACCCAATACAAAAACTCACAGCTAACATCCAAGTGTCAGACACTGAAAGTATTGACAAAAGTGAAATGTTATTTCTGGTATGTGTGATGTGATGCATTGTGGGATCCTCACAGAGATGGCGTTGATGTCGCTGGTGTGTCCTGAGAAGGTCTGCTTGCAGGTCCCTTCCCTCAGGTCCCACAGCTTGGCCAGAGAGTCACAGGCTCCAGAGATGAAGGTGTTCATGTCAGCGGAGAGAGCCAGCGACATGCAGTCTCCAATGTGGTTGGTGAAGATGATCTTCTGCTTGCCAGTCTCCAGGTCCCACAGACAGCTGGGGAGGAAGATTAAGTTTTGAGTGCAAGGATGTTACGAAAGGATCGACCACATCATCCTCGGCTCTATGTGTTTCAGGTCCCTTTTTTCTCGTTCAAACTCATTCATAAAGGCCAGTTTTGGGCAGGTTTTCCTCGAGTCCACTTCATATGTGACCTGTGAAACCCTTCACTTTCTAGGCTAAGAAACTGTATGATGCAAAACAAAATAAGTTCATCGTGGGGAATTGCTATTATCGGGATAATCATGAATATTCTTAGTGAGTTGAAAAAAATGTCTAGCTTGCTATCATGGTAGAGAGGTGAAAAGTAGCTTGATTTGAAAAATTCAGGAATTATCATGTGATAAAAATAGTTCTTTCTAGTTCTCGACAAAATGCAAGGTAAATTGATTCCAGTATGTTTTAGTGACATTTTAAGAGTTTTAACCATATTTTGATGATTATGGGGATTATTATTGTGGCTGAAGGCAAAACGGTCAACTCACCAGGTGGTGTCACCGGAGGCTGTCAAGATCTCACTGTCACTAAGGAAACGGCAGCAAGACAGGTAACCTGGGTGGGAAATCAAAATCTCAGTCCGACTGAAAGGCAATTCATTTCTTTTCATGCTTTTATGTATCGTAAACTTAATTTTGATTGTCATTTAGATGGGCAAAATGGCGGCGGTGAGTTTCATCCTCACCTGTGTGTGCGTCCAGTTCCCTGACAGTCTTGGGGCTGGTGGTCTTGATGTTGGCCACTGTGCACATGTTATCCAGACCACCGCTGGCCACCATGTTACCAGAGGGGGCGAAGGCGACGCTCATCACCCAAGCTGACTTTAGTGGGACAGCAACCAACTGGGAAGTGGACATTTAGTTTAGTTGATGTACGGCCTCCTTCACATATAGAGTGTTGCAGGAATGAGTCCTAAAACCTGGAAATGAGTCAACATTTCTTTTGGCCACTTCCGGTTCCCTCAGCTTGAAGTCAATGTGTTTTTTGGAATTGTTTTTGGTAAGATGCCTTAAAAAAGGGCTGTTGTCAACCCAAGCTTCAGAGATTAATACGTTTTATTCTACCATGTAAAATAGGTCAGTAAATACCCCTTTGTGGCTTTTATGTCTTATAAAAGGCGATTGATAACAAGTGGATAAATGAGGCACAACGACTAGTCCAAATTTAGCTTAGTGGTGGTGAAATGAAGTCATGTGACTTCTGGCGATTGTATTGACGCTTCTAAAATCACAAAAGTGGTGTATGCACCAGAGCTTATTTGCAATAATCCAAAATCCTATGAGAAAATCCCATTGGCTTTTGTCGACGAGTGTGATGCTAAACTGCCTGTTGGACTACAAAAACACGTCATCTCTGCAGCACTCTATAAGGGTATAACCCACATGGGCCGTTTGTGTTCATAGGCTTAAACACAATTTGTACAACAGTCAGTCAATCCTCCCACCATGATTTCATTCCTGACAAGGTGGAGCAGACGTTAAAGCATCACTAAATACTTAACTCACCACTGAAATCCAGACTAATCTAATTATTTGAGGATTAGAAGCTCCTGAAGGAACAGCAAAGTACCTAAACCAATCAAAGCCTCGGTTTAACTCCTTTAACTTAAACACAGATTTTCCAAACTGACCAATTAAATCAAAATTGACTGTCTGGTTTAAGAATCATAAATGCCCAAACACATCTAACAGGTTTACGGCAGAGGACACTTCCTGCCTCTCGTTACAGTTTAACTGAAGTTATTTAAAAGTAAACTTCACATTTGGTAGTTCCTAAATTCTACCTCACATAGAAACTGTGCAGGAATTACTGCAGAACAACTTAATTATATATGTACGTTTGTCTTTTATACTGTATGAAGTCCAGTTAGACCTACTAGAAACACTAGTAGAACGTCAGCAGGCTCTACTGTACTTGTAGTACAATAAAAACAACTGCTTCAATAGCTGTAGTTCCTTAACAAATTCAAGCTTTTTGCACACAAAACATATGCAAAGTACAGCTGAAACGAGTCGTCGTTTAATCGATTGAATGAAAATGATTTGCCAATTATTTTGATAAATCAAATTAAGAAAATGTAGGGTAGCGTTTACTCCTTTGCGAACATATAACATTCATTTATTGAGTTACAATTTTACTATTAATACTTCAAGTACCTTTTTGACAGGTGTGGTATTAGAATGCTTTCTCCACCACTAGATGTCAGTGTGTCTCCGCACCATAAACTGATAAGACCTATTTATTTATAAGACCTTCGAAATACAGATTTAATAAGATATAGAGTGTGTGATCTCACCTTGTTCCCTGTGAAGGTGTCCCAGACGAGAAGCTTGCCATCCTGTGATGCACTGACCATTTGTCTGTCAGAGAGGAGACAGAGTAAAACGATTAGATCCCATCAATACTGAATATCAACAGGATCACAACTTTGTGGTTTAAGTGAGTGCAGTGTCACATGTTGCAAGCAGTATGGCTCATCATCATCTATTAAGTCTCACCAATTAATTATTCCGTGTCTTAATGCCTTTTATGTAAAAGTGTTCTACAAATTCGTATGTATTTTTTGAGAGGGATGATGCAATTTAGCATTTCTCCAATACAGAGCATGAAACCGATGTGCTGCGCAGCGATTGTATACATTGCTAATTTTGAACACCATATTTGGGCATGTACAGTGTAATTAACACATACAGCTTTCAGTATCATCAAATCAGAACATACTACTAATTAATACTAGTAAGCCTAGTAATGAGAAACATAGCACAAGACTTAGTACCTGTTTTAAAATGTACTATATTGGAATCTAACCTCCATACATTTCAGTTGCAAAAATAATCAATAAACCAAATTATCTAAATTTAAGTGGTACTTTTGCTCAAGCTTACTGTCACATTTTGTGAGGCAATTACCCAAAACTTTATCCAAAATGGCGAATGGAGGGACTTCCACTTATAATTAACTGAACCATTCAGATAATTTCTGCCTCACAGAAGTATTATAAAATACTTTTGGCTCATCACAGCAGAAAAAAGACAAGTAGAAATAATAAGAACTACATTTAGCTGTCTCAGTTTCAGGGTTGTTGTGTTGTACATTCTGGCTCACTGTTACACTGTCCTGGTTTACTGGGACACTTAAACAGATCGTGGTTTACTGGGACACTTA